CAAGTGGGCGTGGCCTAAATGGGTGTGGGCGTGACCTAAACCACTTTGGGCCTTTATGGGCGTGTCCTGGCGGGTTGTGGGCGTGTCCTGGCCATTGTGGGCGTGGCCAAATGCGCTTCAGTCTCCCATATTTGGGCTGAATAATCAAGTGGGCGTGGCCTAAACCTCTCGGGTTTTTTTGTGGGCGTGTCCTGACCATTGTGGGCGTGGCCAATTGAGCCCCAATTTTCAATATTTTGGCTTAATAATCAAGTGGACGGGGCCTAAATTGATGTGGGCGTGGTCTAAATGGATGTGGGCGTGGCCTAAACCACTCGGGGCGTTTGTGGGCGTGTCCTGTCCATTGTGGGCGTGGCCAAGCACGCTTCATTCTCCCATATTTGGGCCAAATCATCAAGTGGGCGTGGCCTAAATGGGCGTGGGCGTGGTCTAAATGGATGTGGGCGTGGCCTTAGTGAGTATGGGCGTGGCCTAACGCTCTTTGGGGCATTGTGGGCGTGGCCAATTGAGCTCCAGTTTCCAAATTTTGGGCTGAATAATCAAGTGGGCGTGGCCTAAATGGGTGTGGGCGTGGCCTAAACCAGTTGAGGTCGCTTTGGGCGTGTCCTGGTGAATTGTGGGCGTGTCCTGGCCATTGTGGGCGTGGCCAAATGAGCTTCAGTCTCCCATATTTGGGCTGAATAATCAAGTGGGCGTGGCCTAAACCACTCGAGGTCTTTGTGGGCGTGTCCTAATGGGTTGTGGGCATGTCCTGACCATTGTGGGCGTGTCCTGGTGCATTATGGGCGTGGCCAATTGAGCCCCTATTTTCAATATATTGGCTTAATAATCAAGTGGGCGGGGCCTAAATTGATGTGGGCGTGGTCTAAATGGATGTGGGCGTGGCCTAAACCACTCGGGGGGGTTGTGGGCGTGTCCTGACCATTGTGGGCGTGGTCAAACGTGCTTCAGTCTCCCATATTTGGGCCAAATAATCAAGTGGGCGGGGCCTAAATGGGTATGGGTGTGGCCTAAACCACTTTGGGTCATTGTGGGCGTGTCCTGGCGGGTTGTGGACGTGTCCTGAGCCTTGTGGGCGTGTCCTGACCCGCTGTGGGCGTGGCCAGGTCAGCACCATGCCCGAGTACCTGGGCCGGCGTTTCGGGGGGGGGCGGATCCAGCTCTACCTGGCGCTGCTGTCCCTGGGGCTCTACGTGTCCACCAAGATCTCGGTACTGGTTTGGACTGGTTTATACTGGTTTATACTGGGAGGGGCTGGGAGGGGCTGGGAGGGGCTACGGGGAAAAAACCCGGAGGTTTTGGGGTGAAAAACGGGGATTTTAGGGGTGAAAATGGGGAAACTGGGTTATACTGGGAGGGACTGGGAGTGGATTGGGACAAACTGGGAGGGAACTGGTTTATACTGGTTTATACTGGGAGGGGATTGGGACAAACTGGGATTAATTGGGACAAACTGGGTTATACTGGTTTATACTGGGAGGGACTGGGAGGAAAAAACGCGGCGGTTTTGGGGTAAAAAATGGGGATTTTGGGGTGAAAAATGGGAGTTTTAGGAGAGAAAATTGGAGTTTTGGGGGTTAAAATGGAACTGGTTTATACTGGGATGGAACTGGGAATAAACTGGGATGGAACTGGGAGGGGCTGGGGGGAAAAAATGCGGCGGTTTTGGGGTGAAAAATGGGGATTTTAGGGGTGAAAATGGGAACTGGTTTATACTGGGAGGGACTGGAAGTGGATTAGGGCAAACTGGGAGGGAACTGGTTTATACTGGTTTATACTGGGAGGGGATTGGGACAAACTGGGATTAATTGGGACAAACTGGGTTTACTGGTTTATACTGGGAGGGGATTGGGACAAACTGGGATTAATTGGGACAAACTGGGTTATACTGGTTTATACTGGGAGGGACTGGGAGGAAAAAACGCGGCGGTTTTGGGGTAAAAAATGGGGATTTTTGGGGTGAAAATGGGAACTGGTTTATACTGGGAGGGACTGGAAGTGGATTAGGGCAAACTGGGAGGGAACTGGTTTATACTGGTTTATACTGGTTTATACTGGGAGGGACTGGGAGGGACTGGGAGGAAAAAACGCGGCGGTTTTGGGGTGAAAAACGGGGATTTTAGGGGTGAAAATGGGAACTGGTTTATACTGGGAGGGACTGGGAGGGTTAAAAATGGGTAAAAAGGATTAAAAAGGGGATTTGTGGTTACTGGTTTATACTGGTTTATACTGGGATGGACTGGGAGGGACTGGGAGGGACTGGGAGGGACTGGGAGGGGCTACGGGGAAAAAATCCGGTGGTTTTGGGATGAAAAATGGGGATTTTAGGGGTGAAAATGGGGAAACTGGTTTGTACTGGTTTAAACTGGGATGGACTGGGAGAGGATCGGGATGGACTGGGATAAACTTGGATGAACTGGGAATGAACTGGGATAAGCTGGGATGAACTGGGATGGACTGGGTGGAAAAAACGTGGCAGTTTTGGGGTGAAAAACGGGGATTTTAGGGGTGAAAATGGGAACTGGTTTATACTGGGATGGGACTGGGAGGGAATTGGGATGGACTGGGATAAACTGGGATGAACTGGGAATGAACTGGGACAAACTGGGATGAACTGGGAGGGACTGGGAGGGACTGGGAGGGGCTACGGGGAAAAAATCCGGCGGTTTTGGGGTGAAAAATGGGGATTTTAGGGGTGAAAATGGGGAACTGGTTTATACTGGGAGGGACTGGGAGAGGATTGGGATGGACTGGGATAAACTGGGATGTACTGGGAATGAACTGGGATGAACTGGGATAAACTGGAAGGGACTGGGAGGGACCGGGAGGAAAAAACGTGGCGGTTTTGGGGTGAAAAATGGGGATTTTAGGGGTGGAAATGGGGAAACTGGGTAATACTGGTTTAAACTGGGATGGACTGGGAGGGACTGGGAATGAACTGGGACAAACTGGGATGGACTGGGAGGGACTGGGAGGGACTGAGAGGGGCTGGGAGGGACTGGGAGGAAAAAACGCGGTGGTTTTGGGGTGAAAACCGGGGATTTTAGGGGTGAAATTGGGGAAACTGGTTTATACTGGTTTGTACTGGGAGGGACTGGGAGGAACTGGGAATGAACTGGGACAAACTGGGATAAACTGGGAGGGGACTGGGACAAACTGGGATGAACTGGGAGGGACTGGGAGGGACTGGGAGGAAAAAACGCGGCGGTTTTGGGGTGAAAAACGGGGATTTTAGGGGTGAAAATGGGAACTGGTTTATA